ACTTCAGCTTTAATCAAATTGCTCAAATGCAAGGAAGCTTCATTAAGGATCGACGCAAAGGTATGCGTCCCTTTCTGTTATGTATTTTTTGCTTGGCGCTGTCTTTCCTAATTATGCATGGTTTTTGCACTTTTGGCACATATGCAAACACAAAAGCGTATATCACAGGCGGGCAACCTGTTTTAATTCGGCCCGCGAAGGGAGTCGGAATGCGGTGCCTAACTAGATGAACGGCAAGCTTCTGCACTCTCATGAAAATAAGACAAAAATACGCACGAGGATAAAAGACAATAGTCTGAAAAGTGCTTTGAGACTATTCAGACTACTAACGGTCTTCAAGTTTAGCGCAAAAACACATGATCGCATGGGCAAACTTGGTGTGTTGTTACCTGAGTTTTATCAAAAGGAAGCCTGCGAGTTTAAGTAAGCATGTAAATTAGGCCCAAGTGTCGTCAAAGGCTCCCCATGCCTGGCGCTCCCTCTCTGTGTATGTGTGTGTGTGTTTGCTTTTATTTTGGAATTCTTATACTTGATTTTATAGTAGAATTGTGATATCGGTCGCCTGAATTAGCTAAAATCCGAACTGTGCCCTCAGGCAAATAGCAACGAAACTTGCTAATTCGGTGTGTTTGTGCAAATTTGTTTCCCATGGATAGGATGCGCAAAAATCATGTGCTTGTAGCAGATTGCCGCTGCGCACCATAATTTTTTAAGCTCTTTACCAGGCGATTACTAAAAACACATAGGTAGTTGACGCGTGGATTTGATGTGAGTACTGTTATTGGGGTGCATCATTCATCTGGCGCATTTCTGTCAGTCCTTCGACTTACTGTTTATCCGCTGGCTTTTGTTGGATGCGTTTTAACGTTGTTTCTCCACTGCTGTCTGTTGTTCACTTATTGTTTTCCGTCGATTTTTGTTGCATGTTCGTCGTTATTTTTCATTATGCGCGATTTGTTAGTACTTTTTTTGTTGGCGCACGTAAATCGATTCTCACTGCTACATTTTTAAGTTTTTTTTTGTCTCATTTGCACGAATCGCTTTTTTGTTCTGTGGTTAGAAATGTTTGTCTTTTGAAGTGCTAAAGAACAACTGTTTCAAACACAAAACAATATGTCTTTTAGGCATGGCCAACAATATTGGACATCGATGATGTCTCTTCCCTTGGCAGGAAAAAATGGGAGCCAGAACAAATTGACTGGAGACCTTCCAGTGTTTGCTACTTGGTAAGTTATAATGTGCCCAATGAAGTAAGCGGTATACGAAATTCAGCCTGACAGCGATTTTTGCAGGATTGCGGGGATCTCGCAAACTCAGATCTTCAGTGAATTTTGACAATTGTCGAAATTGTGAGGAAGCGTTCCACCGATTAATGAAAAAAAATTGCAGGATTTCTCGGTGAGCACAACGGGG